TCATGGAACATGATCTTTACTTAATATCCTAATGATTTTTGGCATGAAAGAAAAATGTATAATTTTGACCCATACAATGTATTGTTGGCTATTGCTACAAATATACCCCAGCGACTTAACACTGCTTTTGGGCTCCAGGGACACATATATTGTTTTGCATTCTCATTTGCTCAAAGCAAAAAAAAAAACTTTTGATGACTTTTTTGAGAGAGAAAAATTGAGAGAGACTGGCTGTCAGAAGAGACAACGATGTCAAATTTACCGTCTCTCCCATAGATGCTGCATTAGAAACACCCTCGCATTAGCGTTAAATAGTTTTTTTGTCATTTGATGCAAAGGTGATATAATACAAAGTATATATAGTGTTATAAATGTACATACATTTAAAAAAAAAATCTAAATATAAAAAACTTTAGAGGATTTACGATGCAGGCACAGTCTTTTGAAAAGTGTCCATTCGGTTTTCTTGTTGTGATTGTAACGTTATTTAAAGGTTACAAAAACATTTCTTAGAACGTTCTTCTGTTATTTTTACCCAAAATATTACTTTTACGTTTATTTTTTATATTCTAAGAGCGTTAAAATGTCCAGTTTTCTTTTTGTGTTTTAATGTTATTTAAATGTTACAAAATGTTACATTTTCTTACAACATTCTACTAATTTTATTTTTACCCTAAATATAACATTGAGCATTTTTTTTTATTTTCTAAGAACGTTAAAATGTCCAGTTTTCTTGTCGTGATTGTAACGTCATTTAAAGGTTACAGAAACATTTCTTAGAACGTTCTACTGTTATTTTTACCCAAAATATTCTTTTTACGTTTATTTTTTATATTCTAAGAACGTTAAAATGTCCAGTTTTCTTTTTGTGTTTCTAATGTTATTTAAATGTTACAACATTCTACTAATTTTATTTTTACCCAAAATATAACATTGAGCGGTTTTTTAATTTTCTAAGAACGTTAAAATGTCCAGTTTTCTTGCCGTGATTGTAACGTCATTTAAAGGTTACAAAAACATTTCTTAGAACATTCAAGTACAAATAACAAGGATTTTTATCAGAATGTTGTTCTAAGAACATTTTCTCTCAATGTTATAAGAATGTATATTAAATACTAATAAAGTTAAGAACATTCCATAAGCATTACTTTAATGACATTTTGTCCTAACATTTATATAACTTTTAATAAACGTTAGTGAAAGTTGCGAGAACGCTGCCTGTTAGCTGGGATGAGTAAATGATGACAGAATTATCATTTTTGATTGAATAATTTCTTTAAAGTGGTCATGAAATGGAGAATCAAAATGTTCGTGATATTTAAACTAGTGTTAATTTTGGCACCCATTTTTAATTTAATCGTAGTCTTAGTCCTGTCTCAAATTTATGTTTTAGTTGTTATCATATTTAGTCAACTTTGTCCTGCTTTTGTTTCGTCAAGTTTTAGTCGACGAAATGTCTGAGCATTTTAATCTAGTTGTAGTCGATGAAATCTTAATCACATTTTCGTTATGCTGTATAATGGTTAAACTGATAAAAAATGATTTTTGCTCAAAATTATAATCATAATGATTGTTGTCATTTGAGATATTTACTTTACACAAATCAATAGAATGTCGACTCGTACACGTGTTTTTTTTTTGTTTTGTTTTTTTACCTCATTTAGTGTACTAGTGATTTATTATAGGCTATTTATTATATAAATACCAAAGACTTATGCACTTTCTCTGTCTACATTATGAAAACTGGTAAAACAAATTAAAAATATTATAACAGTGAAATTCCTAGCAATTCCACTAATTCCAAATTGCAATATCTTATTTTTCTCTATTAAAACAACAGCGGCTGAGTAAGTGCATTTATTCTGCAACCACAATCTCAAACAATACAGTCGAGATGATAGAACACAGACCGGCTTAGTGACAATTTTATTTAGATCGCTAAACTCTAGTTTTATTTGAGGCGTGTACAGCAGTCCGCAATAATATTTTGTCTCCTTTTTTTGACAAAAATGACAAGAGATTTTGGAAAAGTTTGTATTTTTTGAACGTAAACGAAATTGCATGTTGATATAGTCATAGTTATCGTTTATTGACCTTATTATTGTGTCGTCATCGTCTCGTTATAGTCATGGGAAAATATCTAGTCAACGAACATTTTTCGTCATCGTTTTCGTTAACAAAGTATACACTAATTTACACATATGAGAAGTTGTTAGTAAAATCGCAGGAAAAGTTTTCGAGAGAGAAATGTAATGCTCATTTCATATGCAAAGATGTCAGCCAATCAGTGGGCGTTTACATTGAAGTTTCACAGAAGACACGCCCCTTCCAAGCGACCATTTATTTCTAAAATGAACATTTATATCTAAATTTTAACTGTGTTTAATGAAAAAACACACTAATGTACACATATGAGAAGCTGTTATAGTAAAAACACAGAAAAAGTTTTTTTAAAAGAGAAATCCACATGTAATGCTCATTTAATATGCAAAGATGTCAGCCAATCATATCAGTGGGTGTTTACATTGAAGTCCCACAGAAGACACGCCCCTTTCCAATCGACCATTTCTTTCTAAAACGACCATTTATATTTGTTATAATAAAAACACAGAAAAAGTTTTTTTTAAAGAGAGAAATCCACATGTAATGCTCATTTAATATGCAAAGATGTCAGCTAATCATATCAGTGGGCGTTTACATTGAAGTCCCACAGAAGACACGCCCCTTTCCAATCGACCATTTCTTTCTAAAACGACCATTTATATCTAAATTTTGACTGTTTTTAATGAAAAGCCATACTCTGATTATAATTGCACAACAGGACAGATTATAAAATAATCAAAAAAATTAATTGACAAGCTCTACTAGTTGACCTTTGCCCTCGGGCGACTCGTGTTCTCCGGGTGACCAGCAGACGGGCGACATGTCGCCGTGAACGGCGTCTAAATGGTACGAGCTGACGGATCCGTTGCATTGTTGAGCGTGAATCGGGCTGAGCAAGTGCGACACAGAGGCATAATGCGGAGCGCCGTCCATCACACGAGCGTCAGCCTGACCTGAAAGAGACACATGCATCAACATTATCATCACGCTACTGGATTACATTACAAAAACAGGCTGAAAGATAAACAAACGTTAGTGTTTTCATCTTAATAACTTTTAAATGCAAGTCATATTAAAGTTTAAAAACATATCATCTTTAGATAAAAGTAAACATATGTGACCCTGGAGCACAAAACCAGTCAAAAGGGTAAATTTTTTTAAATTAAGATGCATGTATCAACTGAAAGCTGAATAAATAATCTTTCCATTGATGTATGGTTTGTTAGGATAGGACAATATTTGGCTGAGATACAACTATCTGAAAATCTGGAATCTGAGGGTGCAAAAAAATCTAAATATTGAGAAAATCATCTTTAAAGTTGTTCAAATGAAGTTCTTAGCAATGCATATTACTAATCAAAAATTAAGTTTTGATATATTTACGGTAGGAAATTTACTAAATATCTTCATGGAACATGATCTTTACTTAATATCCTAATGATTTTTGGCATAAAAGAAAAATTGATAATTTTGACCCATACAATGTATTGTTGGCTATTGCTACAAATATACCCCAGTGACTTAACACTGCTTTTGTGCTCCAGGGACACATATATAAAAACACACTTTTATTTATTACTTCTAACTTTTGATCAGCTAATACCATGTATATTTTCTTTTTTTTAAATATATTTTTTAAATAGTTTTAAATATATTTAAATGTGTAAATATTACTTAAATTTACTGTCTTTAATTACATTTTGAATATTTTGAGGGGAATATTATGCCATAAAGACTTGCTTTTATTTAGTCCAATGTCAATTCGTGTTTCATTTCATTTTAACTTTAAATCAAGTCAGTGTTAAAAGTAATATGTTTGCATGTTCATATTAACATTATATTTATTTAAAAAGTTTAATAATGTTTTCAAATAACAAAAAGTACATGCATGTACATGCAATTAAAAAAATACAATACAATGTATAAAGTAAACAAACATTAAAGTGCAAAAAAAAAATCAAGCAAGTTAATTTATATAGTTTATATATATATTTATATTTAATTTGATATTTTTTATATTTAAAATAATCATAAAAGATGCATAAAAATAACAGAAGCAAAGAATTAAAAAATGATGAAATCATTTTCAACTAATATCTTTTCTGGTCTGGCATTATTTAGTCCAGATTAAAATGCAAAAATGTGTAAGTGTAAACAAAAATAAACATCAAGTCTTCAAGTATTTGTCCGGCTGTATATATGTAAATGCTGTTTGTCTTTTTAATAGCTTACATCACAGTTATTTGTTTCCTTATATCAGCCTGTTGTCATTCGTGTAGATCAGAGATGTTGTTATTGTGATTCTCGCTAATGAAATA